AAAAAAAAAAAAAAAAAAAAAAAAAAAATTGGCATACATAGAAGAAGGGCAGGTACTATTTCATGACATTCCTATTTCAGTTATTAATAGATTCATATACTGTAATTCTGCATCGTTTTATTTGCATGAATGATACCCATATTGGATTCTTCTTAATTTCTAGATTCAGTTTTTAAGAACTGTATAATTTCTAAGAGTGTATAAGAACTTTATACACTCACAGAGTAAGTTATATAAATCTGTCTGACCTGTATGTTCTCCCCATACACAACTATAGTCATTTATAGTTGTTCATCTGATTTGACAGTAGTTCTTTTAATGTGCTCATCTTCATTGAGTCTTTCCAGAACATTTAACTTATAGAAACAGAAGCTCTTTCCTTATGCACAGATATTGCATGAATTTACGTAATAAGTAATTAGATTACATAACTCCAAGAATGAAGACAACTGACATAAACAGGTTTGGAAACAAACACAGATGACCTCTCAGTAAATATACAACCTAACTGGTAAGAGCAGAAATAGGCTGGTAAACTAGAGTACCCAACTAACTGAACTTTTGCATGCTGAGGGCATTGATCTGGACATTTTAGCAACGGGATGAAGAGTATGGGATTAGGTGAATCAAGGGCTTGTATTAGTAGAGCTCAGTTAAGACAGCATCGACCATCTTTGAAAGAAGCAAGGCAAAAACTCATGGATTTTGAAAACTCTAGGCCTATAGAAGCTTTGCTACTCTCCCACTTTTTATTGGCAACATTCATTTTGCACTCATTTATTGAGTACTGCCTCAGGCCAGGCATTGTTCTTGACACTGGAGATACTCAGGAGAATTAAATATGAGCCCTGCCATCACACAGTATTTGGTTAGGCAGATAATGTTGGTGACTTTGACATCTCGAGGGTGAATTATAAATGCAACAAAACTTCCTTTTACCATGATAGAGTTCTTTGAATAAAACAGTACTTGTTCCACATTCATCTTTTTTTTTTTTTTGCTACAGACTTCTTATTTTTAATCTAAGTTCCAAACTGTGCATGTTTATTCTCCTTGTTAATAGCATCTTGCTCAGTGTGTGCTGTGCTGGTTTCCCATCTGACTGGTCCCTCTTGCAGGCTGTGACTGTTGTCTGAGAAGATGACAAAGGGAACATCTCTACCAGGCATCTGTGTTTCAAGAACAAGAATCTGAGCACACCTCCACCTGGGTAAAAGGGGGCTGCTTGAAAGGAGTCAGCCCTCAGAGTCCAAGGCAGAGTGATTTCCCAGCCCTGTGGAGGATAGGAGCCAGGGTGACTGTGGGAGCCTCAGCTGCTATGGCTTGTGTCTGCTCTCTGCATCTTCCAAGATCATTCTGATACCACCACATTCCATTTCTGTGTCTCTTTGCTCAGTCTTAAGGGAAAGAATCTGATTAGATTGTCATCTTTGGCCAAGTTCTGGCAGCTGTGGCAGGGATGTGAGGAGAAGGCTGCGGGGAGATGAGGAGCCAGAGGGCAGCTTAGGCCTTGGATATGACAGAGTTTCTCATTAGACCAGGAGGAGACAAGGATCAGCATCCTCAGTCCAGACTGATCTTTTGGAATCATACGTGCAGCCAATAAATATTTACTGAGCATTTACTATGTGCCAGGCCCTCATCAAAACAACAGCCTTGTTCTCAAGGACCTTATTGTCCCTGGGAAAGAAAAACAT